AGCTTGTCCCACAATCGTTCCACGTAATCACCAAAATTTTGAAGTAATAAAATCTTTGGGATATACTGCAGTTGTTTGGCGGTAAGCCCGAGAATATCTCTCTCATTCGACAGAAGGAGAAACATTTTTGATACTGAGCGGTTTCGAGTCGAGACACTTCTATAAATAGATCTCCCCCTCGCGATCATTTGCAAAATTGATTCGAAAGAGAAAACATGCGGTTCGTGCGACAAGCGCGGATAATCAAAGTATCAAATTTCGACGATAGACTAATATCGGAGAAAAAAGTACGCAAGCATGGAAACATGCTGCCGACTACTATACGCGGTATCGTTTGCGGCCCTTCAAACTGCGATAAGACAAACGTGTTGATTAGTTTGATAGAAAGTCCGCACGGTGTACGTTTCGAGAACGTGTACGTATACTCGAAATCGCTTCAACAGCCGAAATGCAAATACTTGGAAAATTTACTAGCACCTATAGATGAAATCGGCTACTTTACATTCTCTAATAACAGCGATGTCATTCCACCGAGCGAGGCGCTTCCGAATTCCATCTTTATCTTTGATGACGTGGCATGTGACAAGCAGGATACGATAAGAGAGTACTTTTCAATGGTTCGACACTCGAGCGTTGACTGTTTCTATCTTTGTCAGACGTACGCCAAGATACCTAAGCATCTTATACGCGACCACGCGAATCTGCTGATCCTGTTTAAACACGACGGCACAAACTTGAAACATGTGTACAACGATCACGTGAATACCGATATGTCTTACGACGATTTCCGTGCATTGTGTCAGAAATGTTGGCAGCGTAAATATGGTTTCGTAGTCATTGATAAAGATGGTTAGATTCCGATATCTTTGGCGCCATAATGTAAAAGCAAATTCTGATAGTATTTTTAATGCACAACATGGGAAAAATAGTTAAAAAATTCTACGATCAATACATATCATTAATAAACAATATTAATCTTAATGACGCTGTATATAATCTATATACGTTTTCGTTTGACATTGTGTATCTTTTGTATATTGAAATAAGATGCAACAATAATTCACTTTTACGTTGTTGATTTTTTTTACGATATTGAAAATTGTTACGTACGTACTCTTGAGGAAGAGCGAAATTTTACTTATAAATCGAACTATTGTAAATGTATGAAACAAATGAATTTATTTATTAATTTGTAGTAAATAACGTTTTGTTTAAATAATTATTAACATAATGATTTTTTTAGAATAGAAATAAAATATTGTAACGTAGTAACTATTATTGATTATAATGAATCAAATGATGGACTATCAGCATCATCATCAGAACTGTCTTCAAAATTAAACTCTTCATTAATTGATAGCTTATGTTGATATTTAGATGATTTTAGTAAATTATCTTCAATATTATTAATATCTTGTGGAAAAGGTTCAAGATTTTTCAAAGTAAGTATATCTTTTTTTTCTCCATTTATCCAAACAGGATAAACTCTAGCAACGTCTTCAAAAAAGTGCATAATTTGTGATCCATAGTCATGTTGATATTCTTTTTCTAATATATTTTTCCGGTAATAATATAATGCTATATATTGATATAATGCTGCAGTGTTTTTTCGAGAAACAATTGCTTTTTTTAGGAGTCTATTTTGACATTCTAGATCGTTGATTGTGTTTGTAGAATCATTCGCTGCTACAAATTCTGCGATGCTATGATTCGTAGTATGATGTGTACAAGTAGATGAAATAACGTTTTCAACACCATGATATTGTTTCGCACTATCTGTACAAATTCTAGAAGTTTTGGGATCAATGAACTTCTTAATATATGGCCATAAATCGCGTTTACTTTTTCCATCTACTTTAAAGAAAATGCCAGTTTTATCTTCCTTACAATAGATACCCAAAACAACGATGGACATTTGCTCTGTAAGCCAGCCTCGATGGTATTTTCTTTTTGTTAAAAATGTTTCATTAATTTGTACAGTTTTATCTTTGCCACCGAATGGTTTAACATGATGAGAACTGATGATTTCGGCTATTTCACGACAATATGAATAATAATCCACTACAGTTCCGCAGCTTAATTCTTTATTACCACGTTGATGACGCCATGAACGTAAATTTTGAAGGTACCTAACCTAAACTTTTTAAGTTCAATATAAGCTTCATTTGAAATATATCGTAAATGTACATATAAGACTACATTATACACAAAACATTGTCTACATTGTGACACTCTTGTTTACATTTTACAATAAAGCTCGTCCTTGACATACATATTTATGTTTTCCCATGTTGTGCATTAAAAATACTATCAGAATTTGCTTTTACATTATGGCGCCAAAGATATCGGAATCTAACCATAAAGATAGTACGTTGATCAATGGACGATTCTATATCGTACCCTTTATTAGTTTTAATAATCCTATTAAAACTAATAAAGGGTACAAGTACAAATATATAATTGCACCATTATTCCCCGATAGAAAGATGGGAAGAGGTATTGACGCGCCGCGCACCATGACGTTAAGCGACAACATGATCGATTACGTGCATTGGAACGATCCCAATGAATTGGTGGATCGTTTGCGATTGCTGGATGCCTCGCGTCGAGCCGGCAATAATGCTCACGACAATGAAATCTTGTCGATTATCGAAGAACTTCGCGAGGCCGGCATTATTATAAATTAAACTATGCGTCGGCGATACGTGTCATTCGGTCAATGTTCTCGGTATCGAAATGTCGATTAATAAATTCGGATTATCGCTGGGAACGTCGAACAATTTGTACTATGAATGGAATGGATTATTGAGAAATTACGTTCGCAATAACGCTCTCTGCCAAACTACTACCGGCTTTGACGCAAGGTCGCGCAAGATTCAACGCGTAGCGCAACCGGAAGCTGATACCGACGTCGTCAACAAACGATACATGGATAAACTTTTGAGAGATCGACAGGGAGAAATTGAGCAAAAAATTATCGCGCTCGAAACAAACGTGCAGGCGCTGCGATTAATGATGGATGAGATAAAGAATGTGCTGAGACATGCAACCTCTAACTCGACATAAGCGAGATATACTAATATCGCATATTAATTATGCCTCGATCAAACGTGCGAGAGAACAAAAACACCTCCGAAAAGCGGCAACTAGTCGAGGAATTACATGCTCCGGCGAGAAGAAATTTTCCACGAAGACGCGTCATTGTACGCGGATATGATGATCTGTGGCAGGCGGACGTGGTGGACATGCGTTCGTATTCTCGACTCAACAAGGGTCATAAATACATACTCACGGTTATCGATGTGTTGAGCAAGTATGCGTGGGCCGTACCGCTCAAGAGTAAGAGCGGAAACGAAATGTCCGAAACGATCGCAAAGATTATTGAAAATGATAAAAGGTGTCCGAAAAATTTTCAAACCGACAGAGGAAAAGAATTTTACAACTCGAGTGTGCAGAAACTCATGAAGAAACACAACATTAATCATTACTCGACATATTCCGTTATGAAAGCCTCGGTCGTGGAACGATTCAATCGTACTTTAAAAAACAATATGTGGAAAATGTTTACGTTGAATAGAAATTACAAATGGATCGACGAACTATCTCAACTTGTTGCAGAGTACAATACGCGAAAACATCGCACCATCGGTATAAGACCTGTCGACGTCACTCCAGCGATCGCCGAAAAACTTTTAAATACGGTGTACAGCAAAAATTGCGGCTCCGGCAAAATTTAAAGTAGGCAATTCGGTACGCGTGAGCAAATACAAGACCATCTTTGAAAAAGGTTTCACACCAAATTGGACGACCGAAATTTTTAAGATTATCGAGGTGCAGAAAACTAATCCCGCGACGTGCATACTCGAAGATTCGCGGGGAAATCCCGTCGCTGAAGGATTCTACGAATACGAGTTACAACGCGTCGCCAATCCCGACGTATATCTCGTGGAAAAAATTATACAAAAAAAGGGTGATGAGGTTTATGTGAAATGGTTGGGAATGGATAAATCATACAACTCTTGGATTCATAAAAATAATGTATTGTAAACATTTATTGAAACATAAAATATGCGTATAAAATATATTAAAGGGCCTAGGGGGATAAGCATGTAAAAGTTGCCCCCGCACGTATCAAGTCGAGATTGGCATCATAGATTGACATCTATGTGTCTAAAAAATCCTGTAAATATCAACCTTAAAATTTCATTTTTGTAGGAGTTATGGAGAGGGAAAGTAAAATAAAAAAAGTGATTTTTCTCGAAAACGGCTCAACCGATTTTGATGAAAAAAAAATATGTTATGAACATCAACAAGTCTATTTTAAAAATAAAATTAAAAAAAAAATTATGACAAAAAATACGAGTAAAAAAAATTTTTGAATATTTCAAAATTTTTTTTTGAGGTTATGTTTTAGAGATACACCTCCAATTTAAAAAAAAAAAAAACCTTAAAATGTCTACTTTAACATCTATTTTTTCCAAATTTTTCATAGAGGTACTTCATGGCGAAAAATGATGAAAATCATGCATGCGGTTTTCAACTTTTTATCGAAGTGCTTTATTAACGTGAGTCCCCTCGCTTCTCACAAAACGGGATGCTTTATTAACGTGAGTCCCCTCGCCTCTCACAAATCGGGGTGCTTTATTAACATGAGTCCCCTCGCTTCTCACAAATCGGGGTGCTTTATTAACGTGAATCCCCTCGCCTCTCACAAATCGGGGTGCTTTATTAACGTGAGTCCCCTCGCCTCTCACAAATCGGGGTGCTTTATTAACGTGAGTCCCCTCGCCTCTCACAAATCGGGGTGCTTTATTAACGTGAGTCCCCTCGCCTCTCACAAATCGGAGTGCTTTATTAACGTGAGTCCCCTCGCCTCTCACAAATCGGGGTGCTTTATTAACGTGAGTCCCCTCGCCTCTCACAAATCGGGGTGCTTTTTTAGTCTGAGTTCCCTCGCCTCTCAGAAAACAGGGCCTTTTATAGGAATTGAAATTATTTTTTTAATCTTCATCACTGTCACTCTCAATTACTGGAATGTAATTGTTTTTCTTGAATACTTCGCTGAGTATTTCGGCCGGTTTGAAAATTTTTGATAAGTACCTAGCATGAGATAAATAATACACCACTGCAGCAATATGGGAGCAACAACCAACAGACCGTTTGCCATTGGCACATTCACATGTGTAATGTGTCAAACCAGAAACACCAACACTGTTAGGTTTATATCTTAAGAAGCATCGATATGCTGTTCGAGAAATATGACGAGATGGAACTTTCAATTTGAGTACATTTGACTGATCTTTAACATACTCAATTTTTAGTTTACCATCTTTGTCAACCATTTCTGCCAAATATGATATGGCTTGACCGAGTTGGTATGAACCGGTGAATAAGATTTTCAAATCCCTTTCTGTCATTTCTGGGAAATCTAAAATATCATCTGATGTAACACTTTTGAAAGGTAGCTTTCGACGAAGCCAACCATTTTCTTCTACCTCATCCGCCAAAGTATTCTGCACATCTTTTTGACTATGCATTCTCTGTAGAATGTCATCAAAAGTGTCTACGTCAGAATGAAACCTTTTTCCAAAGGTGTTGTTGAGGAACGACGCGATTCTGAAGTAAGATCCAATTTTCGGTATCAACTTGTTGTCAATTTTATGATCCAAAAAGCGATATTTTTGTTTAAGCACACCGTGAACAGATTCAACTGCCCAGCGAATTTTAGTGACAAACCGTGACTCATTGGACTCTTCTGTGGACAGTTGTTTCCTTTTTCCTTTCAGAGCAGGCATCAAAACTCTGAAATCTTTTTCTAAAATGTCTTTTATATCACGGAAACCGCGATCAAGGACAAAAATATTACCTTCTTTTAGGAACTTACGCAAACTATTTGGATCTTCAATGACACTTTTTAAAATCTCCGCATCATTTTGATTAGCAAGGTATGGTCCAAGCATATCAACAATGTAGCCGTCAGTTGTGCACAGAGTAAAAGGTTTGCACAGAGGAACTTTCTTCTGCCCAGAGAAAGATTTTCTCTGATATTCATTGTTGGTGCTTTTTTGATGACGAGCGTACGTGCCATCACAAATTAAAAACAAATTGTCATTAATATTAAATAATTTTTTTGCCATTTCAGTTGTATGATTCTGAATAAGATCATCTCTATTGCAAGAATTTAAGCCGAAACGTAATGGCAAAACATCATCTTCGAAAGATTTGATTATACTGTTAGAATAATCTGAAACATCGTGTTCATTCTTTAATTGTAAGATAGAAGCTATCATTTTATTAGAGTTCCCTGTCCTTAATTTAAATAGGAAGACAACGAGTGCTTGGATTACCGAACGGGATTTACTGTTTCGCAGTGAAATCAACATATCTTTTATAGTATTAATATTTTCCCAATTTAATCCCGTAAAAACTTCTAACTGTTCTTCCGAAATACTATATTCGCCCACTTTGTCTAATAATGTCGAATCACATTTTATAGACAGAGTTTCCATCACTTTGGATAACTCTAATGCTGTGAGATTTGCTGTGTTAGAGTGTACTCTCAAGAGACTAAGATCATCTTCATAAATTCTATTTTTTATTAAGTGATCTTTACAACATCGATTTCCGCTTGGTATGTAGATTTTCTTCTTAATATATACTGAAATTCGAGCTTCTTCAGGAATCGTAGTCAGATTATCTGACAATAAACAAATACAACAATATTTATGCGTAGTAACAGTTCGTTGGATGGGAATTTCGATACGTTCGACCTCAGTAATTGTTTCCTTTGGTCTGAATTGAATTTTGAATGTTGGATCATCGTTATCGGATTCAGAGGGAGGGTCTCTTTCGATTTCAGACTCAGCATCTTTTTCGGGGTTCTTCTTTTTATAAATGGAAAGTCGACATTTGTTACATAAAATGTTACATAAAATGTCATTAACAACTATTATTCGCTGTAGAGATGAAGAGAAATCATGAGCTTCATTGACATTATTTATAATTCTCTTTTTACCTGTCACTTTTTTCAAAAATGTGTCGCAACCCGCACACTTCAATTTTATCGTTGCTGTCCTAGGCATACTCAAATAAAGAAAAACAGAAACTTCTAGTGACAAACAGTAAACGACTAAGTAACAAATGCGATTAATAAAAAAAAAAACGTTTCAGTTTTTATGAAAAATCATAAAAGAATGTAAAAATCAAAATAGTCACGGCTGAAATTGGCTTTCAGAATGAAACGCTCGGCTCTCTATCGAAAAGCGTAGAGAAACAAATGTAATAGCGGATTTGGAAGACTGAGTCTGCACAATAATCAGAAAAACAAATGACTATCAAAAAACTAAAGCTGGTATTACGTACTTCGGGACATAAGTTAACTGCTAGCAGTTATTACGTATCGAGAATGCACATCAATCAGTTTTCAAGACGAATCATAAAATAACGAAAGATTCTCATTAATAGATTTCTTCAGATGTTTCATATGAGCAGCAAGCAAAAGTCACGGCCAAAGTTGGCTTTCTGAATAAAACGCTCGGCTATCTGTTGTAAGCCTGAGAGAGTTGAAAACAAATGAATAGTGGACTCGGGAGATTGCCAAAGGTGACATATGATCACAGACTAAAATTAGTTTAATATAGTGTCAACCGGTCAGTCGAGATCGATATGCGTAGCTTGAGCGAGTGTGCTGTGAAAGCGTGGTACCGCATCGCATGCATGATTTTCATCATTTTTCGCCATGAAGTACCTCTATGAAAAATTTGGAAAAAATAGATGTTAAAGTAGACATTTTAAGGTTTTTTTTTTTTTTAAATTGGAGATGTATCTCTAAAACATAACCTCAAAAAAAAATTTTGAAATATTCAAAAATTTTTTTTACTCGTATTTTTTGTCATAATTTTTTTTTTAATTTTATTTTTAAAATAGACTTGTTGATGTTCATAACATATTTTTTTTTCATCAAAATCGGTTGAGCCGTTTTCGAGAAAAATCACTTTTTTTATTTTACTTTCCCTCTCCATAACTCCTACAAAAATGAAATTTTAAGGTTGATATTTACAGGATTTTTTAGACACATAGATGTCAATCTATGATGCCAATCTCGACTTGATACGTGCGGGGGCAACTTTTACATGCTTATCCCCCTAGGCCCTTTATTAAAATATAAATATATAAATATAAAAATATATAATATAAAATGTACAAAATATATACAATATAAATATATACAATTAATAAACGAAATATACATTTATTTACAACGGTATCCGATAATGTTCCCACGGTAATGTATCGGTGGTATCGGGTACGATATACCGCTTGTCGTCGTACGGACTCAGAGCAATTTTCGTCTCGCGAATCGTGTATACTTGGTGTAGTTTAGATCGTATACACGACTGCTGACGCGTCATTTCAATCTCTTTGTTCAAGCACCGCGTGTAATCGTCAAACGTTATCGTTCTCGCTACAACGCTGCTTTTGACACCTTTGACTTTCTTCGTATCCTTTTTTCCATTCATTCGTAACGCGTACATCTTTGCTCTGAGCCCGACGAATTCGGTCATTATGGCACCGTTATTTTCGTCCTTCATCAGATCCGGCACCTTTTTATTTACACGCGGTATACCGTACGCATTATCCACCGCATAATCGTTCGTATCGAATCTAACAATGTCACGCTTCATATTCTCATATACATTCGCACACTCGATTTTCCCTGTCGACGGAATCGATGTATTCGTACGGAAATAAACCTTTTTGCGTTAACAAATTGAAATTTTCTGTTGATAAATTTTGAAATTCCGATTTTAAAATTTTAAGCTTATCTTTGTCCAAAAATGATGCCAATTTATCGAGACTCGAGAAATTTGTATGAATCGATGAAACGTAATTTTATTTGATTTTTTGATTCTTATTCTTCTTTAAGATCAACAATTTTGGTAAACGAAATATATTTTTCCTTGGTTATCGGTAATAACTTGATTTTCCCTTCGAACGCTGTGGCTATTTCCTCGATGATAAGATGAGAATCATAACCGGATAAATTGTGAAACACTATCGGAATGCAAAAAGAAATTTTATAATTTAGATTACAATTTGAATGCGCGGGACCACTGTACCGCCCGGTCAGATGGCAATGATCGTGAACGCGTGTATCGTCTTGCGCGAACGGCTTTTCGCATATATGACAACGTGTGGCGCTATGGAATTTCTCCCACTTTTCGGACGTTAAATTTACCATGGGGACATTTGTTTTTAAAATATTCTTAACGCGAATTACTAAATTTTTAAGGTCTTCGGCGAACCATGCTAAACAATCGGCGATACGACGCGAATGATACGCCGGTAATGAGTCGTCGTACGAACAATGTACATAATAAGCTAAACTAAATACCCGATGGCGTTGATATAATTTTTCTTCTTTCGTCTTGGCCAAGACACATTCCAAGTCGGCGTAGACCACAAATGGAAGCTGCTCCTTCCGATTAGGGTTGCTGAACTCGAGCCGCTTGTCCTTGTCGCTCGGCAATCGGACAGCGCAGTCGTTTAGCTTTTCGCAGTCGACCGTATGCGATTGCAACTTGGCGTCTGAATAAAAATAATGAAGGCATCTGTAAAAGAAAAAAATTTTTTTATCATAAGATTTTTTATATAAATTATAATTTTTCAAATAATATAAGATAAAAAATTAGCGTCTACGAGCGACAATGGATGGTAAATGCCTGAAAAATTCTTTTTGATTGTACGCGAAATTTTAAACGAAAAACACGGCATATGCATATATTTTACTTGGTGCATTTAACCAAGATATAGATTCTCATTTTTGAGAAATTCTATACAACCCTCTTTACCCCCCCGAAGAGACGTAGACGAGAAAAATATCGGGGCGAAGTCGCTGAATCGGGAATCGAACCCGAGTCTTTCGCTTGCCGGGCGACTGCTCTTACTACTGAGCTATTCAGCCCCACACCGATACTACCCTCGTCTATTTGTTTATAACTATGGACAATGAAACGCGATCATTTCAGCTAGCGCGTGAATTAAATTAAATCGAAAGGAATTAGGCTCGTTATATATTCAATAATATGATAAGAAAATTAGCGTCTACGAGCGACAATGGATGGTAAATGCCTGAAAAATTCTTTTTGATTGTACGCGAAATTTTAAACGAAAAACACGGCATATGCATATATTTTACTTGGTGCATTTAACCAAGATATAGATTCTCATTTTTGAGAAATTCTATACAACCCTCTTTACCCCCCCGAAGAGACGTAGACGAGAAAAATATCGGGGCGAAGTCGCTGAATCGGGAATCGAACCCGAGTCTTATAGTAAAATATATGCATATGCCATGTTTTTCGTTTAAAATTTCGCGTACAATCAAAAAGAATTTTTCAGGCATTTACCATCCATTGTCGCTCGTAGACGCTAATTTTCTTATCATGTTATTGAATATATAACGAGCCTAATTCCTTTCGATTTAATTTAATTCACGCGCTAGCTGAAATGATCGCGTTTCATTGTCCATAGTTATAAACAAATAGACGAGGGTAGTATCGGTGTGGGGCTGAATAGCTCAGTGGTAAGAGCAGTCGCCCGGCAAGCGAAAGACTCGGGTTCGATTCCCGATTCAGCGACTTCGCCCCGATATTTTTCTCGTCTACGTCTCTTCGGGGGGGTAAAGAGGGTTGTATAGAATTTCTCAAAAATGAGAATCTATATCTTGGTTAAATGCACCAAGTAAAATATATGCATATGCCGTGTTTTTCGTTTAAAATTTCGCGTACAATCAAAAAGAATTTTTCAGGCATTTACCATCCATTGTCGCTCGTAGACGCTAATTTTCTTATCATGTTATTGAATATATAACGAGCCTAATTCCTTTCGATTTAATATAAGATAAACTTACCGATCGCAGATATATTTCTTGTGATAATTTTTGGTTAGTTGTGAGTTCACGAGCCAGGATAAATTCTTGATCCAAGCGAAATGTCCCACGCTGTTGTCATCTTCAATGTACAGCAGGTTCACATGCTTGTCCCGCTTCTGATCCGAAAGACGTATCGGGACAATGTTTTTGTCTTCGATGCCGTACACATTGATTGAAATGTCATTTGCATGTTCAAATTTTTTAATCTGATTCACAGTCACTGGAAACTCAATGTCCCGGAGATTCAGCACTGTCGCGTAATGCGGGTACGATGATTCCCGTTCCGTATGACTTTTGGCGGGATACAGAGCGGCGACCACTGCCCACGCGAAACACGCATTGTCCTTTGATTGCACGTTAATCACCGTTCTCTTTAGCATAATCTCCCGCGGTAACTTGATGTGACATCCGGCGAACAAAGGATTGTATATTTACTTGTTTATATTTACAGTCAAGTTCAGTATTCGCGACAAAGCCCACCCGCTATCGCGTTCCTGAAACTCTTCCAGCGACGCTAGGGTGGACTCGATAACACGCCGTTCGTATCACTCGCGTAAATCGGATGTGCGAAAGAGTTCCTAGTTTCTCGTATTCACACTTTTATTCGCGTGTTTATCACCCGACACAAATTCGCCGTTGAATATAGTGTTCACTTTTACACTGTTGTGTTTTTTTAAAGCGTCCTGCACATGTTCCAACACAATGTCTTTAGCGTCATCGAGAAATTGGCGTGATTATAGTTCGATGTGATTATAGTTTATCACCGCACCAGTTGATACGCGACTCTCGAACGCTGTATCAATTTCGCGCCACACAAGTGCATTTTGACGCACACTACATCCGGCACCCGCGTGTACGAAACGTCCACGTACCGAATTTTTCAAACCTTCGAGGCGCGCGATCCGAGCAATCAGTGATTGTCGATTTCCGATCGATAATCGCGGCCGTTTGATTCGACTTTGCTCTTCCAGCGACTCGATGTACTCGTCGCATCGTTGCTCCCACACAATGTAGTTTTCCAACGAATCAAGCAAAGCGGATTGTTCTCGCAAAATTTGCTCCTCCATATTGCTAACGTACACTTGCAAAATTTAGCGTTTCTAATGACAGGTCTGATGCACTTTAGCTTCTGGTGCGTCTCTCTATCAT